GAGGAGAGCAGTACCTCTTCAATCGCTCGACGGAAAACGGAATAAACGTGGCTTTTCCTTGCTTGCGTGCGCCGTGCGGTAGCCTCCCCTTTTGGCCGTGCGATTGAATTGGAAAATGGGGAAATTTACTTGAACTTAAACTGGTTGCTGAGGAGTATATTTAAGTGGGATATTCTGATCGGATTTCCTTAAGGAAAAATGGAGAAAATTTGTCCATTCTCCCCCCTTATATATCCGCACGCTAAAATGGGGATGATGCTATTGTGATGTGGCCTTTTTGGCTTCTAACACTTGTTCAATCCTTAAAATTCAAGTGATGACTTACTACACTCTTGCAATGCCACGTGTTATGCTAATTTGAGGAGAAGAAATTGTTCCCTTTGTTGAAAGAAAGCTTCGTCTTGCACATAATATTGGGAAGAATTAACACTTAATGCTCACGGCCCTTAAACGTCTTATTAGGGTTAATTTCTAATTAACCCTAATCTTGATGTTTAATTATTAATTAAACATAGTACTTAATTACCAAAATTTATTCCGAACGTAAACGGTACGTCGAAAATCAATTTCGGGTGAACTTAATTAATTCCGAAAATAATAACCAATAACATTATTAAATCGGGATTAAACGTAACTTACACCGATTAAAATATCGGGATATTACAATCCTCCCTCCTTACAAAATTTCCGTCCTCGGAAATTCAAAACATGACTACTATACATGAACTCTGTACATAAGATAAAGAATATGTACATCAGAACTGGAAATCTGGAAAACGAGCGCGGATGTCCGACTCTTCCTCCCAGGTAACTCCGTGGCGATCCCACTGAAGGCGCACGAGGGGAATATCTCGCTTCCGGAGCCGACGGACCTGACGGTCGAGTACAGCTACCGGTCGCTCCTCGTACGACAAGTCTGGCTGAACCTGAATATCTGTGTGGGGGATGACATGATCGGGGTCGCACACGTACTTACGCAACATAGATGCGTGAAATACATTGTGAATGCCTGATAACTCGGGAGGTAGGGCTAGACGATACGCGACCTCGCCTACTCGCTCGAGTACCTTGAACAGACCGATGAAACGAGGGTGTAGCTTCCCTCTCTTGCCGAATCGCACTACTCCGCGAACCGGATGAACTCTGAGAAAGGCGTGCTCGCCAACCTCAAACTGAATATCTCGTCGATGATGATCGGCGGAAGATCTTTGTCGACTCTGAGCTGTCTTGAGTTTCTGCCGGATCAACTCGACCTGCTCTGCTGTCTCCTCGATCATCTTAGGACCGAGTACTCGTCGCTCTCCAACGTCGTCCCAATAAAGCGGGGAACGACACTTGCGACCGTAAAGTGCCTCGTAAGGAGCCATCTGAATGGAGGAATGATAACTATTGTTATACGCGAACTCTGCGTACGGCAACAGCGACTCCCACTTGGCACCCCTGTCCACAACCAAGGCGCGAAGCATATCCTCTAGTGTCTGAATCATTCGCTCTCACTGACCATCTGTCTCCGGATGGTAGGCTGAACTGAACTCGAGCTTAGTGCCCATC